CGACCCAGAATTCCCGAATGATGGACTGACTGACTGACTGAATGACTGACTACTGCCCAGCCCTTGGCTGATAATTTGATATGCCTCGGTCCGTTTATGCGGTGGGTTTATCAGGGCGAGGATGGTATGGGGGCGCTTTAATTTTATTTGCACAAAAATGAGCGTCAATATTCCCGAAAAAAATACATTTGGACAAGGCGACGTTGCCTCGTGTTGTTTTCCTTTCCGTTTTTTTTTTCTTTTTTGTACTGTGGCCAAAGCAAATAAAATTCATTATGAATTTCTAATTATATTGCCCGCCAAAGGCAACCCTCAAAAAAAGCCAAAAGTTGCCCCAAAAAAGTTTACATTTTTTCCAAGCCCCCTTTTAGAAAATGTCAAGCCGCACATTTGACAATGATGAATTTGCATTTGCTGTTGGCCAGCAACCCTCGGAAAAGCGGCATAAAAAAATGCTTTAGATAAACTGATTAGGCACATCAATTGGGCAGAACACTCTTCTATTCTCGCTGCGCAGGAAAACCTTCGCCTAATGGCAATTGTTTTGTGAAAATTGAATTTTCCTCAGTACTTCCGGGCATTGCATTGTCTGGCTGGTTACAAAAACTTTGGAAAAGCGGCGGCCGTCTAATTATAATATGAAATATGAAATAAGGCAAATGTTTTGCGGTTTTCTGCACCTGCTGCCAGAGATAATGAGGCTGAAAGGTGAGCCTGGGGGTGGCAAAGGTATTTGTTTAAATTATTATTGGACTTAATTTAGCCAAAGAACGCGCAATAATGGAAGCCAATTTCAAGTTTTCCCTTGATAAAAATATGAGAAAGGCTCAAGGTTTTTGAAAAAGTGAAGATTCAAAGGATTGCTGGAATTATACAAGTACTTAAGATTATTTACAATTGTTTTGAAAAGGGTTTAAAGAGACTTAGATGGTATTTGTTTGTATTTTATATTTGTGGTTTCGCAAAGAATATTTTAAAAAAAGCAATAAAATATTTGAATAGCAGAAAAGTTTATTAGTCAAAGAAATTTTATTTATATTTTGTATAGTATCTTTCTTAAATTTTTCCCCAAACTATTTAAGTTTTATTGAATACTAAAATGAAAGTCAAACAACAAAGCTCATAAATGTAATACAATCTAGCCATATAGCACATTAATTCACACATTAAGCTATTTGGCATTGATTTCTATTTGCCAAGCAATGATTGACTGATTGATGATATCGAAACTAGCCCAAAACAAACCAAATAGACCAAAGCAAATAGTTGGTAGATGGCAATGTGGATTTGTGGCTGATACGCAGTGGACATGGGCTAAGGTCAAAAGTGGTTGGGTTGGGTTGGGTTGGTTTGGTTTTATCTGGGGCACAATATGATATGGAAGAAATATAGAAGGGGAGGGTGTCAGCAAACAATGAGATGATGATGAGTCGGGCCTCCGATATAAATCAGACAACAATGCGAGACACAGATACAGATATGGCTGCGGATAAAACACACACGCATTTGAGGACATTCGAGGATAATGCCGCCTCTCAACACGAACATGCCTTTCCAGGCCCGCCCCCCGATTTTCCGGGTATTCATTGTCAACGCTAAGCATCGTGTGAGGATTATTTCGCATTCTTCTGCAAGGACCCGCCACGTCCTTTTGTCTAATTGGTTGTGTCACATACGAGTACCAGAGTACATCAGACCCAGAACCATCGGATCAGGTCCATCCCCATCGCATTGTTGTGACTGTTGTCATTAGCTGTCCCATTTCGACTTCTGCTCGAGGAACATCTTTTGCTGCTTTGTTTTGGGTATTTAATGCTTCAATTGATTCCTGATTTAAGTGCCTCCCCGCGGATCCAAAAACAGCTGCTGAAGATTCGGCGGCCCAGCAGGTTGTCCTCCATTCGAAAGTCGGGTCTTATAGATCACTTCGGGGTCAGCTAATTGAAAGTCTTTCACCTTCATCAACAGCCTAATGACGGCGATGATGCCGCGCAAAAGTAAGAAAAATCACGAAAAAACGGTATACATACCAATGTGAGCTCCAGGTAACGAAGATATTAAATTCCTAATTATGAACCCATTTATGGAGTGTTTTATAGAAGCAAATTTGGCACAATTTATTAGCATTTTAAAAGCTTAACTTATTAATCAAGTTAACAGAATCTCAAACTGCGTTGGAGGATCTAAAGAACAAATTTGTGAAAGCATTAGTGCAGTAAAATTAGTTTTAACTCTTTACCATGCTCATTTACTCACTTATCGAATTTATTGAGCACTGAGCTAAACTAAAGTCCAAAGCACATAATAAGAACGTGTAAATATGACAACAATAAAGATCCCCTTGGAGTTGAGTCACGGTAATTCGAGAAACTGTATTCACTGACAAACAAATCGTATGCAAACGCAATAAAATAGAAAAACATTGACAGGAACTACGTAATGCCTGAAAACCTGATAATGGCATCATCGGCGAAACAGTGCGATAAGCAAAACTGAGCAGCTGAGCTTTGGAGCTTTTGAATGAGATTTCAGTAGCTAATTATCATTCATAAAGTCAGGACGTACTCTCCACTCAACAATGAGATTTCATTTATATTACTTGCTGGCTCTGCTCAGTGTGACAAGTTTGACCCATGCAGCCAGCAATCTGATTTGTTACTATGATTCGGCCTCGTATATGCGCCAAGGACTGGCAAAAATGCATACGAGTGATCTGGAATTGGCCCTGCAATTCTGCACACACTTGGTCTACGGATATGCTGGTCTGAAGGCCGGAACCCACGAGCTGTTCAGCTTAAATGTGGACTTAGACATGTTCCACTACAAGGAAATTACGGTGCTGCACCAGAAGTTTCCTCAACTGAAAATACTTCTTAGTGTGGGTGGCGATCACGATGTGGACACGGCTCATCCCAACAAATATATAGAACTTCTGGAGGCAAATCGCACTGATCAACAGAATTTTATAGACAGCAGCATGGTTTTGCTGAGGAGAAACGGATTTGATGGCCTCGATCTGGCCTTCCAGTTGCCGCGCAATAAGCCCAGGAAAGTTCACGGCTCTATTGGAACTTATTGGAAGTCATTCAAGAAACTCTTCACTGGCGACTTCGTTGTGGATCCCCTGGCGGAACAGCACAAATCACAATTCACCGATCTCGTGAGCAATTTAAGGGACGCATTCCGTTCTGCTAATCTCATGCTAACTCTGACTGTGCTGCCCAATGTGAATTCTTCTTGTAAGTATAAATATAAATATTGAAAATCAAGGTCAGCAATCATGTTAAGTCATTCAACAAATTTGAAACAAAAATAAAGAAAGCAGAAAAACATTGCTTAGCTACACTGATAAAAAAAATGAAGTAACAGAAATAAATTTCTGGCTATATATTTCAAAATTTCATATTTAAAATAAATGTGAAATCAAACTATTATGTACAATGCATGTCAAATTGCATGATTTAATATTTAAAATATTTGAATTAATGTGGAAAATATGAGATTTAAAGTAGTACATATTTGATTTGAAAATCAAAGCGATATATATTTAATTTAAGTACTAAATATTTGAATTAAGTCCCTTTTTACCAGTGTTCGAATGCATCAAAAGTGAATATTTGCTGATTATACAAATCTCTAAAATTTCTTGAATCAACCACAAATAACTTGAACTTGTTTTAGGGTACTTTGATGTTCCCAAACTGCATCCCCAGTTCGACTATATCAACCTGGCTGCCTTCGACTTCCATACTCCTGTGCGAAATCCCGAGGAGGCGGACTTTAGCGCTCCGATTTTCTTCCAAGACGAACAGAACCGCTTGCCCCATTTGAATGTGGATTTCCAGGTCAATTACTGGCTGCAGAATCATTGTCCTGCTCAGAAGTTGAACCTGGGAATTGCCAGCTATGGAAGGGCTTGGAAATTGACCAAGGGCTCTGGGTTAAGTGGACTGCCAATTGTTCAAGAGACGTGTGGACCTGCTCCCGGAGGTGTACAAATCGAAAGTGTGGAGGGATTGCTCAGTTGGCCAGAGATATGCTCCAAGTTGTCGCAGAATTCATCAGCCCAATACAGAGGAGAGTGGGCACCGCTTCGCAAGGTCACTGATCTCACCCAGAAATACGGTAATTATGCTCTCCGCCCGGCGGATGAAAACGGAGACTATGGCGTCTGGCTGAGCTTCGATGATCCGGATTTCGCCGGAATAAAGGCAGGATATGCCAAGTTTAGAGGTCTCGGAGGCATTGCCGTATTTGATCTGAGCCTCGATGATTTCCGAGGACTTTGCACGAGCGTCAAATTCCCCATCGTGCGATCCATAAAATACTTTATGGGGTAGCGTATTTTTCTGTTTTTGCTAGCACCCTAATATAATATTTTAAAATAAATAAAAAAAAATATTTTTAATAAACACAATAATTGGAATTTATCGACATTTGTTTAAAGTTTTTATGTATTTGGCTTGGAAATTAAAATTCTTAATCAAAAGATAATAATATATTAGCACAATATTTGTCAAATAGCTACAGAGACAGACTTTAGTTCAAATTAAACACCACATCCGGCTCAAAATATATTTTTGTTTTCATGAATGTTAGTTTAGGAAAAATGATTAAATTTTCAGATTATGTATTCCAAACGTTTTTAAATATTGCGTGCGTGGGTATTTCCACCGCAATTTGTCCTCTTTTTACTTGCAAAATAAATCTGAAATACTGTTTTTCAATTCTAATCAGCGAGCGCGTTTCAATGTTTTGAGATTAATTGCTGGATTTTTGTTTTTAGAGGTCTCGAAGTCTTGACCCTGCGTCTGCCTTGTCGCAATCGTCGTCATCGTCTTATGTATACACAATTAAGTCATTGCGAGAATAAGTAAGCCAGTAATGAGCTTGGTTTCAGCTCTACTCTGGTCTCTGGTCCCCAAATTCCCCCTCACCAACGTAAAGCTCCGGTCAAGCTTTTTGTCGTCGGTTTCAGTTTCGGTTTCCATTTCGATTTCAGACTCAGTTCGATTTCATTTGATCTGCACTGCGGTTGTGTTTATAGAGATATATCCCCGGCACCATGAAGGCCTGGATCTGGTTTACGTTTGTCGCGTGTCTCTTTGCGGCGAGCACAGAAGCCGCCTCCAATTTAGTCTGCTACTACGACTCTTCAAGTTACACGAGAGAAGGTTAGTAAGGGGATCGGAATTATTCAGAAATTAAATTAGAGATGGTGGTAAATAAGACTCCGTAACTGTAGAAAAGCTAGATTGTATTCAATTCATTCTCGAGTGCGTAAGAAGGCCTTTCAAAAATCAAATCAAAACCATTAATTACCACATTTGACTTATTTTTTATGGATAAAAGTTTTCCAAGAGAATTTACTGGTGCTTCGTGGTTGTTTATCAATAAAAAAAACCTGTATTATACTAGAATACTTAAAATGCCTATTCGAGCTTAACTTGTTTAAGGTCCAGAAGTCCGGGAAAACTATTAAGAAGATTACGTTTTTTGTTTTGGAATATAAACAAATAAACAAAAATATTACAAGCAAAACAAAATTACAGTTGGAACTATAAAGTCAAAGTAAAACGTATTTATTGAACAACATTTTTTTTATATTTCTTTATCTATTTAAGCCAAATGCTTTAAAAATACCTCTTCTTACCCAATACATAAATTCAAGAAAATATGTTTTTTTGTTCTCATACATTATTACAAAACTTAAAGCCTAATAAAAGACCACCTAAAACTAGCACAACTTTTTATTAGCATGTGCCAAATTTACAAACGAATAAAAACAAAAGCATGCTAATCAAGTTACATAACAATTTGTGATTCAAAACAAATCTCGGGTTTTAATTCAATTCAGTTTTTACCGCTTATCACTTGACGAGAGAGACCGAGAGATAAAGAGAGCATAAGCTAGTTCTATAGAGGTCAGTGGCTTATCGGACAAGTTTTTTTCAAAATAATACACAGAGAGTGGCTCTCCCGCAGAGATTTCTCTCCACAAAGCAGTAAATGGCAGCTTCTAAAGAGCGCGTTAACTAGCTAATTAGAGCGGAGTTAACTTACCAAACAGCAATAATAAGGCGTAATTATGGAATGATAGCCCAAAATATGGCAATAGTAGATTATTTTGATCCGGGCTTAGTCGAGTTGAGTCGATAAAGAGCCGAGATCCCACGCATTCGAAATGAAAACCAGAGCGTACAACACACAGCGAGTCCAGCACGACAACTGCCCCGCCAGCGGACGCTGACTTGGCACCACCAGCAATCCAAACAAGTGGCAAGCAGAGCACCAAGTGACTCAGCAGCGCTGCACAGTGTCCCCCGGTATAGGGAAAACTCACAAGTACAGATTTTTAAACTGGTTTTGGTTTGTCCCCCGGTATAGGGAAAACTCACAAGTACAGATTTTTAAACTGGCTTTGGTTTTTAAAAGATTACTGAAACACATTTATTTCTTTACGAAAATGAATGAAAAACTGAGCTTTAAAATAAAAAAAAGATTCAAGGAAAAAACAAAACAAGGTAGTCAAAAGTTATTCTTAAAAAATAAAACAAAATTATAATATATGTTTCCGTAATAAAAAGTTTTCTAAAATGTTTTGACTTTAATAGGATATATAAATATCTCACTATTTTATATTATTTATCATTACTAAATAATTTATATCAAACTAAAGGTAAAAAATAACTAAAAAAAATTTTTTTAAATTTTTAATATTTCTGCCCACTATCTGGCACATCTTGACCCACTGTTACCCGCACCCGAGTCGAACAATAATAACCGCTCGCTGGGATCACACTGTTGGCGTTCAATTAAGCCACTGAAGTCGGCGAGACAATGGATCAGTCTCCGGGAGGGTGAAGGTGGTGGGCAGGGGGAGACCCAGACCGCCGATCTCTGCTCCCCAGTAGTTCCGCCGAGAGCGAGAGTGTTGGGTGTCCAGATCTCAGACTACAGATAGTGGGGCTCACCATACGCTCTCTGAACCTCGGATTATTTGTCATTCGAGTGCAGTTTGTCGTACATCTCGTGCATATTAAATAATGTCATCTTCCGAATTTAAATTGCGAATTTTCCAGGCCTCGGCAAGCTGCTCAATCCCGATCTGGAGATTGGTGCACAGTTTTGCACCCACTTGATATACGGCTATGCGGGACTTCGGGGTGAAAACCTCCAGGCGTACAGTCTGAACGAAAATCTGGACATCTACAAGCATCAGTTTTCCGAAGTGACCAGCTTGAAGGTCAAGTATCCCCATCTGAAGGTTCTGCTGAGTGTGGGCGGTGATCGCGACATCGATGTGGACCATCCCAACAAATATATCGATCTGCTGGAGGGCGAAAAAGTGCGTCAAATTGGATTCATCCGATCCGCCTTTGACTTGGTGAAGACCTACAATTTCGATGGCTTGGATCTGGCCTATCAGTTTCCCAGAAATAAACCCAGGAAGGTTCACGGTGAATTGGGATCGGCTTGGAAGAGCATCAAGAAAATTTTCACTGGAGATTTTGTTGTGGATCCGCAGTCGGCTCTTCATAAGGAGCAGTTCACCGCTTTTGTACGGGATGTCAAGGACTCTCTACGGCCAGATGGATTACTGCTCAGTCTGACTGTTCTGCCCAATGTAAACTCTACTTGTAAGTATTTAAATATTAAAATTATTCATTAATTGTTGATAACCCTCTTAAATGCAGGGTACTTTGACATTCCCGCCCTGAATGGCTTGGTGGACTTTGTAAATCTGGCTACCTTTGATTTCCTGACTCCCGCTCGTAATCCCGATGAGGCGGATTACAGCGCTCCCATCTACCACCCTGAGGGATCGAAGGATCGCTTGGTCCATCTCAACGCTGATTTCCAAGTGGATTACTGGGTGAAACAGGGCTTCCCATCGAACAAGCTCAATCTGGGAGTGGCTACGTACGGAAATGCCTGGAAACTGACCAAGGATTCGGGACTTGATGGAGTACCGGTGGTGCCCGAGACCAAAGGACCAGCTCCCGAGGGTGTTCAATCCCAGAAGCCTGGGCTTCTGAGCTTTGCCGAGATCTGCGGAAAGTTGAGCAATCCCCAAAATCAATTCCTTAAGGGCAACGATTCGCCACTGCGCAGGATTAATGATCCCACCAAGAGATACGGTGGCATCGCTTATCGTCCTGTAGATGGTTCAATTACCGAAGGCTATTGGGTAAGCTACGATGATCCCGATTCGGCCTCCAATAAGGCGGCCTACGCCCGTGCCAAGAACCTTGGGGGCGTGGCCCTGTTCGATTTGAGCTACGATGATTTCCGGGGACAGTGCAATGGTGAAAAGTATCCCATATTGCGGGCCATCAAATATCGCCTTTAAATATAAATAAAACTTATGTTTATGTGGAAAACACTTTCAAATAAATGATGATTTCTAACGCTAAATCTGGATGAGTGTTTCCCTTAAATTGAATCCAATTCATATTGATAGTATTTTTATTTTAATAAGTAAGTATAATTTCCTAAATGTCTACATTATTTTTTGGGCTTTTATGGCTGTAAACGGTTTTCCCCAAGAGCGTTTTAGTGTTATTAATTGTCTGTTTCTCAATACCTTTGTTTATTTTGCACTTGTTCGCTAAGTGCCTACTTATTGTGGACCTTGAAATCACATCATCAATAATCCGCCCATAAACCTAGTGAACTTTTCCGTAATCCCTTAACCATTTTTTAGTTAAATATTTTCTTGTTTTTTGGGCGTGAGTAACGAGCGGAAACGACCTTGCTAATTCGTCAACACCTTATAAAGTGCAGATTTATCACTGGGTGCTCCCGTAAATAGCAGGAGATTTAGTATATTTAAACTATGAGTTGGCGGTGGGCATTATCTCGAGTAAGACGTATTATCTGTTCCTTTTTCTTTGTGTAAATTACCGAGCCGAGAGGTGATCTCATTGAACCCGATGTCAACCGTCACTTGAGACAAACAAATTCGTTGAATTTCGTTGATAATAAGCCCCGTCGAGTTGCGTTTTGCTATTGTTCGACCGGGGTTTTCGTTTCGTTTTCGTTTACGGGGAATCGGGCGGAGGCGATTCAACTGAAAAGCTCCCCACTGCCCATATTTATTCCAATTCACAGTGCTTAGTGTCATTTCGAATTCAGTTTGAATTCGCATCTCGCCGGCGACAGACCGTTACAGCGCTCCCATCTACCACCCTGAGGGATCGAAGGATCGCTTGGTCCATCTCAACGCTGATTTCCAAGTGGATTACTGGGTGAAACAGGGCTTCCCATCGAACAAGCTCAATCTGGGAGTGGCTACGTACGGAAATGCCTGGAAACTGACCAAGGATTCGGGACTTGATGGAGTACCGGTGGTGCCCGAGACCAAAGGACCAGCTCCCGAGGGTGTTCAATCCCAGAAGCCTGGGCTTCTGAGCTTTGCCGAGATCTGCGGAAAGTTGAGCAATCCCCAAAATCAATTCCTTAAGGGCAACGATTCGCCACTGCGCAGGATTAATGATCCCACCAAGAGATACGGTGGCATCGCTTATCGTCCTGTAGATGGTTCAATTACCGAAGGCTATTGGGTAAGCTACGATGATCCCGATTCGGCCTCCAATAAGGCGGCCTACGCCCGTGCCAAGAACCTTGGGGGCGTGGCCCTGTTCGATTTGAGCTACGATGATTTCCGGGGACAGTGCAATGGTGAAAAGTATCCCATATTGCGGGCCATCAAATATCGCCTTTAAATATAAATAAAACTTATGTTTATGTGGAAAACACTTTCAAATAAATGATGATTTCTAACGCTAAATCTGGATGAGTGTTTCCCTTAAATTGAATCCAATTCATATTGATAGTATTTTTATTTTAATAAGTAAGTATAATTTCCTAAATGTCTACATTATTTTTTGGGCTTTTATGGCTGTAAACGGTTTTCCCCAAGAGCGTTTTAGTGTTATTAATTGTCTGTTTCTCAATACCTTTGTTTATTTTGCACTTGTTCGCTAAGTGCCTACTTATTGTGGACCTTGAAATCACATCATCAATAATCCGCCCATAAACCTAGTGAACTTTTCCGTAATCCCTTAACCATTTTTTAGTTAAATATTTTCTTGTTTTTTGGGCGTGAGTAACGAGCGGAAACGACCTTGCTAATTCGTCAACACCTTATAAAGTGCAGATTTATCACTGGGTGCTCCCGTAAATAGCAGGAGATTTAGTATATTTAAACTATGAGTTGGCGGTGGGCATTATCTCGAGTAAGACGTATTATCTGTTCCTTTTTCTTTGTGTAAATTACCGAGCCGAGAGGTGATCTCATTGAACCCGATGTCAACCGTCACTTGAGACAAACAAATTCGTTGAATTTCGTTGATAATAAGCCCCGTCGAGTTGCGTTTTGCTATTGTTCGACCGGGGTTTTCGTTTCGTTTTCGTTTACGGGGAATCGGGCGGAGGCGATTCAACTGAAAAGCTCCCCACTGCCCATATTTATTCCAATTCACAGTGCTTAGTGTCATTTCGAATTCAGTTTGAATTCGCATCTCGCCGGCGACAGACCGTAACAAATAATACCTCCCAAGGTAGTCTATAGTTTTTATTTTGACATCGTAGAGCTCTCCGGTTTTTATCTCTCTGAAAGATGAGTAGCTCTCTTTGGCTCAGTTTGGTACTGAGTCTGGCGATTTTCGCTCAGTTTCACGTGGATGCTGCTCCTAATCTGGTTTGCTTCTATGACTCGCAGGGTTTCCAGCGCCAGGGTAAGTATTAAAATCTTGGAATTGATTAATTTACAAACCTTTATACTTATTGTAAACTCCAATAAAGGCCTGGCTCAATTTTCGATGACCGATATGGAGCTGTCGCTGCAATGGTGCACTCATTTGATCTATGGCTATGCGGGTGTTAATGCCGACAACTTCGAGATGCAGAGTATAAACAAGCGATTGGACCTGGAGCAACGTCATCTGGCTCAGGTCACCAATTTGAAGGATCGCTATCCCCACATCAAGTTCCTTTTGAGTGTGGGTGGTGATGCAGATCTGAACGATGGAAATCAGTATATAAAACTCTTGGAATCGGGACAACAGGGTCACAAGCGCTTTATCGAATCCGCTCGCGATATAGTGAGGCGTTTCAATTTCGATGGACTGGACTTGGCCCTCCAGCTGCCACGGAATAAGCCACGCAAAGTTCACGGTGATGTTGGTTCTGCCTGGAAGAGTTTCAAGAAGTTCTTCACTGGCGATTTTATTGTGGACACTGAATCGGAGACCCACAAAGGACAGCTGACTTCTTTGATCAAGGACTTGAATGCCGCCTTGAAACAAAACGATCTTTTGCTGAGTCTCACCGTTCTGCCAAATGTTAACTCAAGCTGTAAGTATACAAATTATGAGAACAATTACTTTAATTATACCGACTAACTGGTGTAACTTGATGAGTCATCAAAGCGTTTTATTTGCGTCACCGAGTTTCGATCAAAACCCACTGATAAAACAAACTCTGTTTAATTGATGTACAACTGTTTGCCACTTTGAACAGTTTTTTTTTTAAGTTACACTATTAATTATCTTGATTATTTAGAAAGCTGTAGGGAATTTGATATAAGAGAACGTTAAAATCCACTTTGCGTATTATTCCACATTAAACTAACAAAACGGCTTAACAATCATCTACAAGACTTAATTAAGTTATTATAATTTTATTCAACGAATTCATTTTAAATTCTAAATTAATATAATAAAAATAATTCCTGACATATATTAAAACAAAGCTAAATCAGGCAATAAAAACCAACTTTAAAACGAACTAAATATAAATAATTAATCAATTATTTGAGTGAAAAAAACTGTATGTTAATCAAAACCCTTTCTATTCCCTAGGGTACTACGATGCCCCCTCGATTGCGCCCAGCTTGGACCTCATCAATCTGGGAACCTTTGACTTCCTGACCCCGCAGCGTAATCCCGAGGAAGCGGACTTTTCGGCACCACTGTACGAGGCCATCGGACAGAATCGCTTGGGCCACTACAACGTCAACTTCCAATTGGAACACTGGCTGCTCCAGAGAGTGCCTGCTAATAAGCTGCACATTGGCATTGCCACCTATGGCAAGTCCTGGAAGATGACCAAGGATTCGGGAGACTCTGGAATGCCAGTGGTATCAGCCACCCAAGGACCCGCCCCGGCCGGACCTCAGAGCAAAAAGGAGGGTATCCTCAACTGGGCTGAGATTTGTCAGCTGATGCCGAATCCCAGTAACCTAAATGCCAGAGGACCCAGTGCTCCGGTTAAGAGGGTCCTGGATCCCACCAAGCGCTATGGCAGCTACGCCTTCCGTGCCGCCGATGAGAATGGTGATCACGGATTGTGGATCAGCTACGACGATCCGGACTCGGCATCCAGCAAAGCCCAATATGCTAGGGTCAGGAATCTGGGAGGAGTGGCCCTCTTCGATCTAACCCAAGACGATTTCCGTGGCCAGTGCACCAACGATCGTTTCCCCATGCTGCGTGCCATCAAGTTCCGACTTCTCTAAACCGTATCCCCCGGACCGTAAAGACATCACAAGCACGCAAATGTCACAAGGCTAAATTGGGGAAGTGGAGCTGGGAGGGAACAAATGTCACCCGATCGGTGGCTTAAGGCCTCCTTCTGTGTCTGTCCCTTTTTGCAAATTAATTACAAAGTTGTAAACTAAAATGCGCCGCAAATTAATTCGATGGGCTTGGTCCTCAAGAGAGGAGTGAAATGAAGAGGGGAACAAAATATACTGAGAGGAAAAGTAAGTAACATAGTTTAAGGAATATTTAAGAAGAAAACATTTATAAAACGGATTGTTAATTTATTTTAATGATATTTGATTCAATTTTTTTGTTATTATGCCAATTACTCCCAAATTTATTAACCAATCTAAAAAATTACATTTAAAAAATGTCTTAAAAATAGATTTAAAATTATCTTAAATTTTTAATATTATTAACAAAACAAGGTTGGAGAAATGGAATTACTTCATAATCTTTTAAAACCTTAAAATGTATTTAAAAGTGGCATGTTATTTACTTAACAAAATTAAGGATATTCGTAGATTTTGTAAAACTTAATTTCTTGGAAATCATTACTATAAACAGTATTATACAGTTTTGCTAGCTAAAAAGAAAAGCTTTTATCCGAATTTATAAAAGCCATAGACACATCTATAGTTTGCTAAGATATCAGTTGAGAAACTAGATTTTCCCCTGTGTATCAGTTGCCTACTGTCTGGTTTAATTGCCCCTTTTGCATTGAATTGTTTGGCGCCCACGTCTGGGCGAATCGGCTGGTTTATCATCTCGGACCCATCTTGGTCAAATGGCATTTTGCGGTGGTTTTTTCTTTGCCGATTTTCCTCTCTTTTTGTGCCCCAGCGCAGATTTACAGATTTCGCCACAGAGAGCCGAATGGTTGGAACTGCTTAACTTGGCTTTGTGTAATTGGCGCTACATACGCGACTCCACAAGCCCGATCCGCGGTCCATATGCGTACTCCGCCATGGCTGGACTTCACCCCCTTCGGACCGTGTGTCCCCTGTTTACAGAATTGCTGACATACCACCATGCAAAGGTTGCCACTACAGTGAACTGTGGCCACAAGGACCCGGATCGGGGGTGTCTGGACCGACTGCCTCGACTGGCGACGACAACGACACGATGTAAGACAACTAAATTAAGTTATTGTTTCTTGGGCAAATGCAAAGGCGGTCACTGACTTGGGAATACTCTTCTATTAGGCACTCCTTTTATCAATATAATTAAATAAATACAAAAACTTAATTCAATTCAAAGAAATAACAGAAGACTGATGATTTTTAGGATATAATAGGAATTTGTTTTTAGTATATGATTTTATTTGTTAAAATGGTTAAGTAAATATTTCTTATATTTTGATTGTGTTATAAAGAAACCTGTAACAAATAGTTATTGAAAAAAAAAATAGTAAAAGCTCAAAAATATTAGATATAGGCTGCAAACAAAAGATTTAGTTTTCTTTTAATATAGTGTTCTTAATATTCCTAACTTTTGCAATGCCTTAAAATGTGTTCTATATTTATCTAATAATCTCTAGCCAACTGCGGAATTTCCTACTTATGAATATGCTGTGTTTGTGGATCTCCCACACTTACTCTAAACTCCTGTTAACCAAATTCAAACCCTTGGAGGCTGCTAAAAATCCTATTTGCTATCTAGGCGGCTTATCTGGGAATCGTGATCTTATTAAGCTGACTATACACTCGGAAATTATTTGCAATTGGCGCAAATGCCTTATTGGAATGCAAAATATGCCATTAGTGGCAGAAGTCGAGACGCGGCCAGCCAGCAGCAACTTCCCAGACCTCGACTTAAGGGCCTAAAGGGCATGGGTTTTGGATGACTATATGGGATAGTTGGTGGTTGCGAAGGGAGTGGATATAAGCATGCCACTTGCATAGCGTACAAGTTGTTAACACGGCATTGTTTTGGCCACCGTTCCATAATATATCCCAAAACAGAACCTAAGACAAAATGCACTTGAAAAAAAAGTGAATGTCACAATTGTCTGTTTGAAAAATACAGTACATATTAACTTGTCATTAAATTAAAAAGATAAGAACAACTTTATTTCTTAATTATTTAAAAGTGTCCTGAAATATATTATATATTTATGAACTTATTTTTAACGATTAATTTAAGAACAAAGTGTAGTCAGAGTTTTGTACAAAATAGTTTTACAGAAAGACCAACATAATAACAATGATAAACTGGGAGTGAGGTTTCAAGTAAAGTTTTTTAAATAATTATAGTTATTTTAAATGAATTTTTTCTAGAGTGTAGCTGCTTGAATGTATCGTTAATCGTGTTCCAGGTGCTCCTAGGCAGAGGACGAGAACGAGGACTAAACTGCGGGCCAGCTCCCGGTTTTTGGCTTGTCGCCTCATCTAATTAAGGAGCATTTGGTCCATGGCGGCGTCTACAAGATCTGTTCATGATTATTGCCCCGGGCCGTATCGCCGCCTGAAGCTCCCTGCGAATGACAAATATGCTGCCTTGCACCAGGGATTCCAACTTCGACTTCTGTTGGCTTCCAAGGAAGCCAGTCTGTGGCTCTTTAAATAAAGATATTTTCGCCCTCATTACGCGCTGTGTCCTTTTGTTTATTTGCTGTGGTTTAATACTCCTCACACCACATTTGGGTTTGGTTACTTTTTTTTGTCGGTGGCCGATGAAGTGTCGCTGATTGCGCGTTGCATTGTTTTGGCTAGGTCGAAAAAGCGATGACGGCGATAAGGAAATGCATGTGGACTGGTCAGGGATTTGGGATTGGGTTTGTTAGCCGCCGATATGATAAGCTGGCTGGTCGATAAAGATTTCCTTGGAAAGTTGCTTTAGTTTTTTTTTCGCTCGCATTCGGGATTAGAATGACTAAGTATCCCAGGCTGCGGGCCTCTCAATTTGGTTTATCCCCACAATGAACTTATTTTACTGCAGGCCATTCCACGTCTCGTTCTCCTTTTTCTCCCACATTGTTATCGCTCTGCTTGCCTTGAGTTTGCATTTTTATTGCTTTGTTAATTTTAAATAAGCCACGCGACTTTATGTTCGTATATATGAGTCCGTGTAAGGCAGTCGTCGTTAAGGGTCTTCGTTAGAGAGCCTGAGCCACCGGGCCATGCGAATTGAGCTGTCTCCTCCTGCAGTTCGTCCCGAAGATCGTTCTCGTCCAATTGTCAGCGGGTTGTCACACAAAATGATTTACAGATGACGATCATTGACTCGGACCATGTCCAAGTGGCGCCACAACATCGAATGAGTCTTGTGGGAGAACTTGGTAACATCATTTTTGATAAATAGTTGCAGAATTCTAAATGCTCTACACTTTAAAAATACTTATTTTCATAATTTCGTAAAAGTTGATAATAATGTTTAGGAATTTAGGCGCATATTGCCTTAATTTAAACAAGAAACTTACTCTAGTAATAAATTTTAGCTGAATGTTTATTTGGCTTCTTAAAAAACTTAAGAATTTTGGCTCTTGCTCAGTAAATAAAGTATGTTTAATATACCCAACTTATAAAAGGCAATTACCATCTCGACTTTATAAGTATACCCTTTCAACTCTTTTAAGTGTATAAGGAAATTCTCAGTCAGCATCGTGCAGACCCGACATTCGTTTATAGATTTTTAACGCCCAGATCGTGAATTCGTCTGACCACAATTATTTTGAATACCCAAATAAAAGGCTTCAGCATTTGTGCCTGCATTTCAGCTTTTCTTCGTTCTGCTCTTTTTCTGTTTTGCCTTTGTTTTTATTCATAAACAAGCGACAATAAAAATGTGCCATAACAAGCTAAGGTTATTCTTGTTTAACGAAATAAACAACTCATAAAATTATGCTACATAAAACACGACAACAAAAAGAACAGGAACGTTTTGTTTATATTTTCTGTAAATTTTTGTTCGCACCAATTAAATTGAATTAGCTGTCAGCAGCAGAGGCGACTATATAGAAGGATGTGATAGATAACCCCGACGCTCCCATGTTTCTGTGTGTGTCTGCGGCTAGATGTAGCGCCACTGCCTCATAAAAGGTTAGTTTAAACAAATAAACACGTGGAATTTAATGAAGAAACGTGTGTGGCTCTATGAATTATATGCCCATGGCTGCGATGTGGATAAAAAGCTAAGAGCGATCGAAACTGGGGCTGATATGTTAATACTATAAGTGGGCATAATTTAATCTTTTCAAAAATACCTAGAAAATATGATGGTCAGGAAAGAAAAGGGGGAACTTTCTGATATTAATATAAAATAAATTATAAAATTAAACTTTAATTAAATTATTAAGGCAAATACATTTTTTTTAAATTTTTACTTTAAAATACCTAAAGCAATGATACAATGGTAAAAAAACGACGAAAAATATACTGATTTCAAACATTTTTAAATTAAACTTAAATTTAAAATATTTTAATATTAAGCCATGCAATTAAACATGTATTATTTTGATTAAATATTTAATATAAATATTAGATATACAATTTTAAATTCAATAGTCAGATATTTATTTTTACTATATCATTTTTTATCGGTGTTAAGTCATAAAGAATTTCTGTACAACACCTACAATCTCTTGCATAGGTACATCCGAATATGACTCTATCATAACCTGAAAAAAAATGGCAACAGCAACAGGAATAACAAACAAATTGCCAAAGACTTGTGGTCACCTAAGAATGTGAATAAACATTGCAAAACTTTGAATTGCGGCACTAAAAATATAACGCCGTGCCGACGACATGGAAAAACGTGTGAAATCCTATTAGAGCTATGGCTAAAACTGGAATGGGTCTACGAATCGAATGGAATTAAGAGAGTGACGGGGATGACGACGCGCCTAAAGCAAACAAATAAAAACTGCAACTAAATGGCCAACTAACAGCATCAACATCAACATCGACTGGCGGCACGCTTTAGAAATTTAATTAAATCGTCAGAGAAACAATAAAAACTACACTGTGGCACACATCGAGAGACCGGGACGTGGATTTTTATTACGCACTGTGTGCACTATGTGCAATAACTCAAAAAATACTTGCCCCGTGTATCATTAAAATCAAAAAATCACCCACGCTGGGTGGGATTTTGATTTGGACTTCGAGCCGGCAACTGGAACTGTGCTCGGATGGATCTTGCGATTTGCCATTAAAATTGTTTAGATGCACAAATAAACACTAAGCGGGCAATCGTTAAATATCGCCCCATTATCCATCCGTCCCCCAAGAGCAATTCCTCATTTCGTTTGTAAACATTTACGAAAAGGAAGAGAATTCGCTTTGGGGAGGCTGTTCAGATTATTGGATTGTTTGAATTACAAATGAGGTGGACTCGGAGAAAAGCCCTTTAAAGTTGGGTTGACTTAGACAACATTTAGTTGTTATTGATGCATATATGAATAGAGCTCTTAAAATAAATTATATAAGTTAAGTAACTGATGAATAATTAAGAAACTCAAAATAAGTGTTGTATATTAAATTATGAAACTGTATTTATCAATGAGTAATGCCAAACGTAAGCCTAAGATATGGCTAAAGGGTAATTTTGTTTAAATTGATTCCAAATCGAAAAAATTCTAAAATAGAGAAGACCTCGAAGACCCAACAAATCCGTGAGTCAATCAGTGCCAACGTAACCTTATCTCTCGCTTCACATGTCAGCCAAAGGAAAATGGACCCATCCATACCCTTATTCCTTTTTTGAAAATTAGTATGCAACCCTTTTGCGCTGATAACAAAAAACGGTAATGTCAAGCGTGGTTTAGCGATACGTCATCGTGATTTGGCAAATTTGACAGGCGAAAACGCCGAAAGAAAAGGAAATCGCATGAGAAAAGGGAGATTGCTGTTTGCATAAATTGCTTAACAATTGGGCAATGTATGTTTATCCTTCATTCATTCAATCGGTTGGCCGACTGACAGCAGCTGAAAGATTACGGCAATGATTTGCCAGAAAATCAAAATCAACAGCAACTGCAACACTTTGACATCATCAGTTCCTTAGGGTAAGGAGTTTTATTCCCCCCATTTAATCATGGGTTGCGTGTCCTGGAGAGATTTCTCATTTGGTCGCAAATCGAACTGCCAACTTGCCAAATTGAAGTGCGTGTGTGTTTTTGGTTTGTGGGGCAAAACAGTTGGACAAATTGAATCTACAGATTCTCAGGTATTAACCCTCCCCGGCAGTACGAAAAAAATTGAATTCTCATTTGCTGGTGCATCAGATTTAATTCGTTTTGGCGCTGTACGCGTGCGCACGCAAATCTCAAGTCCCCAACTGGAGTTCCCCCCTGGAGAATCCCTCTTTGTTTTCCCCCAGTTGGTCAAAGCGACCGCCTGCTGGGTAACAAACACAAGCGACTGACATAATCGTGATATATTGGCACGCAGCCCAGTTGCAAGTTCGTCTTGTCGCAGTCACTTGGTTCGGCCAGAGAAATCGAAATCAATGAATTGGTAACAAAGGTTCGATTCAAATGTTTTCATATAGAAAGGAAAGCTCCATATTTCAGCAAACAACAAAGTGGAAAAATATTAATTCTTTGTTTTAATAAATATTATTATTTGAAATATGTGTAAAATATGTTATGTAATATTAATAAATATTTTTTAAAAATTTAAAAGGTACTGCTTAATCCTTATGTTTAATAATGTTTATTAAATATACATTTATAGAAACAAGTTATGTATAGCACAAGCTAAAAATAATGACTTTAAATGTCAATTTTTGATTCAATAGAATCAATACGATGTCACCACGATTCTCATGTTTAATTACCTTGTCATAAGTTTTAAATTTTTTTTTTTTTAAATACGAAAAAAATAATTTTAAAATTCAAATATTTAACTGCATTAAACCTTTATTCCACCTTGTATAATAATATAGATTAAATAGTCAAATAAAGAGAAAAGTTGTAAGACAAAAACAAAGACTTCTTAAAAATTTCGTTGAATTTTTTTAGGTTGACATTTTGACACATTGTTTATTGGCTTCTTGCTTGCCCGTAACACTTTCAAATTAAATTAAATTTTGGCACACAGCGGCGCCACCCCCTCCAGTCTTTCCCCCACCCCCTCGAAAGCCATCCATCACGCACACACTCTCACTCGCATATGGCAAATAAAAACGTCATCGATCAGAAGCTGGAAAGGAGCCCAATACTATGCAATATTAGAGTTTCAGTTGAGGAAAATAAAATTGAAAAGAAAATCGCTGACAAATTAAAATGCAGGGCCAAGTGGAACTGGCTCAATGGATTTTCAAAAAAGCCAATGACGAATGCCGAAAGAATTAAGATGGATCACATGACTGGATGACGGTAAGAAAAAATAAAAGGACAACTGCAGGAGGAAACCAAACGAATCGAAGAGTTGAACTCGCACAATGGATAAAAAAGAAAAACCAGAAAACCGAAAACAGAAAACAGAAAACAGAAAAACATCTTCCAGATACAATAATGCCATTTGGCAGTCCCTTCGATTCGGTGATTCAGCAATTTAGCTACCTACTATATCGTCATGGTCATGTCACTCACTCAGTTTATAAAACCCAAGTCAGAAACATCAACG